GGAATTATGCAAATTGAATTTTGGTAGTTCCTGGCAACACTGAGGAGTTTTAGAGTAGGAGGTGATGGGGTTATATCTACAGTTACCCACCCACCTGTCCATCCACCCATCTATCCATTTACCCAGCCATCCATGCACACGTGCATATATACACACATACATCATGTGTGCATCTGGGCATCTGTCCCTTGGGCAGTCATTTATGGAGTGTCTATTGTGTGGCGGGCCCTGAAATGGACATCCAGACACCATGGGTGAGGTGTCGGACCCTGTGAAGCTTGTGCTGTAATGGGGGAGAGAGAGAGGTAAACAGTATCACGAGAGTTTGTCCAGGGCCAGACAAGGTTGAGGATTGTCTCAGGCCTCCCAGTTTCTGCAGCTGTGATTCTATTCTCGAGGCTGCAGTCCCACTAAATTCCTCTGTTCCCTCTACTCCTTCCCCACACCTATTCCAGTGCCTGTGCTCACTTACGCCCCGACTTCAGGAGCCAGGTGGCATCCAGTCAAGTTCAGAACCCTGGGGATATTCAAAAAGCTCTACTTGAGAAACTACTACTGTTGCTCAGGAGCTGCTGAGCTCTTCCTCTGCCACATGTCCCCCTCCCCTTCCCAGTGCTCTGGCTCCACACTAGTCTGAGCTACCAGTCTCCTGTTGGCACGGCTGTATTAGCCCCCTAACCTGTCTGCCTGGCCTTGTTTTTGCCCGCTGGTAACCAATCCATTCTCCACATCACCAGAGAGGACTTTGAAAGAGGAATTTTGGGTCTTGTCACTAACTTGCTTACATCCTCCGGGGGTGTCCCTTTGGGGGGATCTAAACTCCTTGGGGTGGCTCAGTCGTTAAGTGTCTGCCTTTGGCTCAGGTCATGATCCCAGGGTCCTGGGATCGAGCCCCGCATCGGGCTCCCTGCTCAGCAGGAAGCCTGCTTCTCTCTCTCCCACTCCCCCTGCGTGTGTTCCCTCTTCGCTGTGTCTCTCTCTCTGTCAAATAAATAAATAAAATCTTTAAACAAAACAAAACAAAACAAAAACAACCTCCTCCCAAGCTCACAGAGCCTATATTAGCAGGCTCCTGCCTGACCCCATGCCTCTCTCTCAGCTCCTTCTACCCACTCCCCTCCAGTCACACACAGTTCCCCAAACACGCCAGTCCCTGCCTCTGCCCCCAGAGCTTCCTAGGCTTGGGTCCTCCTTATTATTGTTTTGTTTTAAAGACTTTTAAAAAAATTTATTTGTCAGAGAGAGAGAGAGAGCACGAGCGCACAAGCAGGGGGAGCGGCAGGCAGAGGAAGAGGTAGACCCCCCGCTGAGCAAGGAGCCCGATGCGGGACTCGATCCCAGGACCCTAAGATCACGACCTGAGCCGAAGGCAGATGCTTAACCGACTGAGCCACCTAGGGGTCCCAAGGGTCCTCCTTATTATGTAGGTCTGGACTGAGAGAATCCCTCACACAGCCCAGGAACCCCCATCCAATCATCCTCTCTCACATTTCCCTGGATTTCCCTCTCCAGACCACTTGTCTGAATTATCTTGTTAGGTACTGCTTTCTTTATGTCTGCTCAGGGCCTCAAGCAGGTAGGACAGGCTATGCTTGGGAATTTGGGAGTGCTGGAGAAGTGTGGACATGCTGGCCTGGAGCTCCGTTCTAACCACTCGCTCAGATCTCCGGCCTAAGCCATTTGCAGGTGTGGCCTCTTGAAGTCTTCACAACATTCTGAAAAGGTTGGTATTCTTTCTTTCTTTCTTTTTTTTTTTTAATTTTTAAGTAAGCTCTACGCCCAATGTGGGGCTTGAACTCATGGCTCTGAGATCAAGAATCTCATGCTCTACCGACTGAGCCAGCCAGCGCCCCAGGTTGGTATTCTTATTCCCCTTTTACAGGTGAAAAACTATGACTCAGTGATTAAAAAAAAAAGTTTACGGTGTATCCTTCCAGATTCCTTTCTACGCATGCAAAGTACACCCAAAGCTAGTGTGACACAGGTGGTCAGTGTTGAGTCAGCTGGATTTTGAATCCTTCTCTGATGGCTTCAGAGCAAGGGGTCTTAGCCATATCACACTGACCCCCCTCTCTATGTGGAGTCCCCAAGCCTCAGTGTCCCAAACCAAGGCCAAACTGCCAATGTGCAGCAGAGCCAGGATTCTAACACGGGTTTGTCTCACCCCAAATGGAGCATCCTGAACTGGCACCAGGCTCTCTCCCTTCTCCAGGCACCATCTGGGAAATGAGGAAAGGGAAACTTCCTGGGCTCCCAGCCCTGAGGCTAAAGAGACATAAATATCCGACGGAGCTAAGTCTGGTGGCCAGGCCCACCCTGCTTCCTGTTAGAGCAGTTTGGGGTTACTCGTGGTCATAGCTGAGGAGCCAGCCAGGGCTTGAGACCTCCTTGGCTGGTCCTCTCCTCTGAAATCCCCTCCTGGGGTCAGGTGGGCCTGGGCCCTTCCTCTGTGGAGCAGGCCCAGCTAGGATGAGTGAGGAGAACACACCCCACAGAGCAGGTAGCATAGCTTAGCCCTCTAGTGCCTGTGCTCCAAGTTTAAGACCCCATTCCAATGATCTAAACTCTCTAGGCCTCAGCTACCCTAGCTATACATGGGGGTACATAATAGCAGTGGGAGCTGCTCTTACCATTTTTCACCTATCTGGCTTAATTGTGTTTTCTAAATTATGGGACCAACTGGAGGGAAGTAGAGGTCATCATCCCATTTTATGGCTGGGAGGCAGAAAGAAATCAGAAATCTGAGCCCTCAGTTACATGTCTGGACGTAACTCAGCCCCAAGTCCAATCCATTTCTGTCTCTCAAATGCCTCTCAAATCCATCCTCTTCGCTTTCTCTCAGCTCAGAGGTTCTGCCTTCATCATTTCTTGCCTGGATGCACAAGGTCCCTCAGCCCTGTTTCCCATATTCTCTCCTCCACACTACAGGCTGCCAGAGCCAGCTTCTTACAACAAAAAACAAATCTGGGTCACCCTCCTGTTCAAAATGTGTGAATGGCTCCCCTCCTTACTCTCCTCTACAAGACTCTTAAGATCCAACCACTACTGGCCTTCCAGCTCTTGCCCCCTGCCTCTCGAATCTCAATGCAGCCAGATGGAAGTACTCACGGCTTCTGTGGGTACCACATTCTCTGTCCGCCAGGCCTCTAGAGGCTCCCTCTGCATGGCCCCTGCCTAACTCAGGGCATGATGCATCCTGCCTCTAGCGAGCCTCTCCAGTCGCTGTCACAGTTCTCATCTACCAGATTTGTTGCTGCCTGTGTCCCTGTCTGCTCCTTCCTCCACCTGATCTTGGGCTTAGATGGAGGCTGGAGAGGAGAGGGCCACCAGGAACTCAATGCTGGGTCTGAGCCTGGTTTCAAGCAGATTGCCCCTCAACATTTGGGGACTGAATGAATGAACTACAGTGTGTCCAGGGTCTGGGAGGTACGAAGCTCTGGAAGCGGTCTCTGTACCCAGGGCAGTTAATGTAGTCAGAGAGACTAGCAATAACTAGCTTAAGAAGCTAACCGACAACAAAAGGCTTGGAAAGCAGCTTGCGGGAGAAGCTGGGTCTAGCACAGGTTGCGTGAACTGCTCCAAGTCACTCCCTCGGCGAAGCCTTTGCAGACACTTCCTTCTCAGTGCTCAGAACTAGAGATTCCCAGGCGGAAGACCTGCTTGGTCTAGTTCTGGCCACCTCTCTGGGTGTTTTTGGAAAAATGGGACTCACTGCCTCTGGGCCTGATTTAGTGGCTAACGAGCTCAAGTCTGGGGGTACACTGGAGGGCCGTTACAGCCAGTGTTCATATTGTTTCTTCTCTTCATTGTTTCTTCTTTTCTTCTGCTCGCGCCCTCCCCCTGGCCGGACCAGCCCGGGCTTCCCGCCCCGCGACCTCCCACTGCCTTCTCCGGGCCCCTCTCCCTTTCCCTCCGCCCCGCCCCGATCGAGGAGGCGGGTCCAGCCGCGCGACACACCAATCCAAGCGTCCTGAGCCCCCTCTGCCTCTCGCGAGTCCCGCCCCACGCCGCCGTCCGCCAATCGCGCTCCGCACCTGCCCCGCCAGGCCGCCCAATTGCAGGCAGGCTGGGCCGCCGGCGCCCCGCCCCTCCCGCGCTCGGCGGCG